GAATATAGTTAATAACCTGATAAAAAGTTGATAGCGTTATTAAGATTCCATCATAATAACGATATCGAACGATATTTTTAGTTTATTACGATATCTTGATAAAAAAAAAATCGTGAGCACAGCTATACAAATGTATTGAAACGCCTTCACACGGAATTATTCGGGAAAAACTCCAATCTGTCTGTTCATCGTCAAAAAAAATTTGACCTCCAAATCGAATTGATGTAATGGATTTCTTCTGTAACAAGGGAGGGGCGACTTGTTTATCATTATGGAACAAAAAACGAAATTATTCTGAAGTAGCATACTCATGATATAATTAGAACCCACTCTACTTGCTCACCAACATAAATTCGATGTCCTGAATTTGGAAATTATTTTCATGCGCAAATTGAATCAAGATTGGAATGTGCTTATTAGCCGAAATTCTGACCAAAACCATCTAGACTAATAATAAAAATAGAATAAATTGAAGAAAAATATTTATTCGTAGATACAGCAGTGCGTGCGCTGTTTGTTCAATATCGTCAAACAAATTCAGTCGATGGTTCTCATGTGTGCCCTACATTTTCCTTACACTTTCAGTTCAGTTAGATGTCGTCGTTGGGTAGATAGTATACCGCTTTGAAAGAGTGCAAAGATTAAAGATTGCTTAGCAACGGTCATTGTCAGATGACTCTGAAAATACGCTTGTTCTATTTTCTTTGTTGATGGAACTAAGATTTTCCGCTTAAAAGCTGGTCCATTCTTGCTCACGTGTTTCGCAGAAGATTTCGTTGCTACGTAGCAACGCGACAGCATCGAGTGAAAATTAAGTGCATTTTGAAAACCAAAAATGAAATTATATGCACATTTTCACTCCCGAAATCAATGTATTTTCTCGTGAAATGCAACGCATTTTCCGTCGTGAATCAGATCTTGAGTTGATTGTTGAATCTGGCAGGGAAAAATGTGCAGAAAATTCGAAAGTCAAATGAAATTTAAAACGGTGCAAGGATTCGTCGTTGTTTTCATAATAAATTCTTGTGTTGTTTATTTAAATTTGCTCGTAACGAAATATCGTCTAAACGGAGAAGTAGAGATCTGTATGCCAGAACGTTTGCATTCCGTGCACATCTTGATGTGAGCGAGTTTCGGTGTTTGCGAATTCATTTGAATCGGTTTCAAAAGAGAGACAGAGAGCGAGTGTGGAAGAGGAAGTCTGCTGATATTTGAGAAGTAATTTCGAATGTATTGAGCGAGGCTCGTAAAAACAGTAGGAAAATGGAATAAAGGAGTCAAACGCTGCTAACAAGACTGGAATTGGAACAAGACGAAAGCATCAAGAGAGAAGAAAAAAACAAAAGGAATTTAATTACGATTTTTCTCGAAGCGTGGAAGAGCGATAGCACGCGAGCGTGAAAATTTAATAAAATCGAAACCGTTTAAAATAGTCGATTGTGTATGTGTGTGTTCGTTGACGATGGCAAGTATAACATGTAAACCAAGATGAGATTGGGGTCGATTTTATTTCCGGATTCGGTTGTTTGTGTGTATGTATTATTGCAACCTCTTGGCATATTAGCTGCTGATGATGCGACGCTCAGCACGGCTTAATTCCAATCATTGACGGTGTCTTGTTATAGTTCTCCCATTCTGTCTCTATCTAGCTTTGCGTCTCTTTGTGTGTGCGAGATCAAAATTCAATTGAATTATTGGCAATTTTCCGTATTGTCGTTTGAAATCGAATTTCAAGCGAGAAATGACTTTCAATTTAATTTTTGCGTTCGCTTCACACTACCCGAACAACCAACGATAAAACCATTGTTTATTGTCGCATTTGCATTAGCGGATTTCGATGTAGGTTTCTTCGTACAGCCGTATCCGACCACCGCTAAAAAGTCAATCGCATCGGTTTACTTGGTGTTGTGCCACGGCGTTTGACTTTTTATTTGCCGATAACTTTCCATTTAAATACCATAAACGTGACACAAAATCCCGAATAATGTACTTAGATCAGCTTGACGAAATAACAAGAAAGAAAAATAAAAAAAGACACCATCAAATGGCGAACCGAAGCAATCACCAAAAGAAAAAAAAATCGATTGGCTGCTGCTAAACGCAATATAAATACCAATTTACAATCTTGTAATAATTTTCTCGAGTCTTTTTTCACTCTCACTCTCACTCTTGTCCTCCGTTTTTTTTCGTCGTGTGTCTATTTAGTGAATTCCCTCATTTGACGCATGTACTGTCTCTTCGGCTGTTTCGTCAATCCCTATCTTGTCTTGGATTTCTTTCGCCTCTTAAATTTCATTTTAAAAACAATGTTCCAATCTCCAAAGCGTCTGCTTCGTTGGTTGTTTTTTTTTCATCTGTATTTCAATTCACGCCGTTGCACCATAATCATCACAACTGACGCATGTCTGCCGCCTTTGTCATTAAAGACATGCATCTCATACTCTCCCCCTCAATTCGGTGCGAAACATTTCAGCGTGAATGAATAAAAAATAAGAATAAATGAAAATGGAATGTAAAGAAACACAAGTAACAGCCAAGTATGTCATTAAACGCTCCAAGGCTCCCGTGGACAAGTTTTTCTCTTTCGTTTCGTTCGCTGTCGCTTGCCTTGTTATTGCTGAGGATTTTTTTTCACGTTTGTTTTGTGTCAAGTTCCACATTTAAAATCATCACTTTTTAACTTTTTCTCTTCTTGTCACAATTAACAAGGTGGATTTTCACAGTGGATTGTGTGTGTGTCTGTTTTTTTTGCCGACAATACTCTTGGTTACAGTGGTTTTTCCGTTATTTCAATCACAAAAGCGACAAACTGAATTGAACACAGGCGACACCGCATATTTCTTCGAGACACAAAATTTGAGAATACAAAAGCAATTGGATTTTATCGAAAGAATCTTCTTTTGGAATGACAGAAGAGCTGACGAACAGTCGATAGCCAAAAAATTTATGGACAATTCTGGTTGCAGTTTAAGTTTTTATTATATTTTTTTTTTGTCAACGAAGAAAAATGATGTTCATCACGTTTTTCTGAGATTTATTGAAATGACCGACCAAAAAACCCTCAAATTCTCTATTTGAAATTCTTGAAAAAAACAACAACAACTTTTCCGGCCAAATTATTACAATTCGAAACAGCAGTAGTAGCTGATGGCAACGTGCCAAAATGATGTTTTCCATTTTATTTGAAGTTTGCAATCGAAATGGTAATATGCGAATGAGACAGAGAGCGATGAGAGGGATGGAATTGCATGGAAAGTGCCTGTGGTTGACCATTAACCAAACACCCACTAAAACTCGACAACATTCAACTACACTAAATATTCGGACACACACGGACACACACACACACAAAAAAGAGCAATCGCAATTTATAAAGCAATCAATTCAGTTCACCAAGTTTTTTCTGCATCACAATTTGGTGAAATGTGTAGCGATTAGTTTGACTTGAACAATTTGATTTGAAAAGTTATTTTTTTTTCTTCTTTGTATTTAATAAAATCGGCTTAGGCTACACGTCTGGCGTAGAAGGTCACTGCAATTCAAAAATTCATAATAAAATTCCAAGACAACGAAAACAAAGTGTTTACTCGAAAGAAACTCATGCACCCCACATAGCATCATAAAAACTCTCCCTCTTTTTGAACGAAGTGAAATTAATCGGATGAATTGAATCCAACGGTTATTGATACATAACCATATTGTTGCAGCAATTTCGGCAAAATTGGTCGTCAATTTGATGTGTAAAATGTTTTTTTTTCTGACTCCGACATTGGATTCAACATTTGATCCAATTATGTTTGTTTTTTTTTCTCGGGAGGCATAAACATGATGTTTCTATAAAAAAAATATTGTAATTTGCCCGTTGGCGCAACACGCGTATACTACCCAATTTTCGATGTTTGTTTGCGTCTTCTTCTGACTTTAAACATAAGAAGTTAATGCCGACTTTTTGGATTTTCCAATTCCTCAGCTGAGGTTTTGAAAACACGTCGGATAAAATCGGATAGAGGAGTTTAAGATGATTTCGTATTAAGTGGGAGACTGAACAAGTTGCGTTACTAAACCTAGGAAAAATAGGGATTATCGCCAATGATGATTTCAGTTTAGGAAAAGTTGAAAAAATATTATTCAAAAACTGCACGAAACAAAAGCTTGACTGAAGTAGTGCAGATTGCTTTTGGCTTCAAAAATTCTTGCACGTTCCTTTGAATCATCACGCGATGTTCTCCCTTTTTTTCTCGATAAACGATTCCCCTTCCGTTTTCAGCGAGCGCATAAATCAATTTTTTCCTGACTTCAACTCAATTGTTTTTGTATGCGGCCCGAAAAATGCATACAGTTTGCTTTGTCTCCGCACTGGTTAATACGGTCGAAAATGTAGTCGCACATTTTTTCCATACACATGATTTAACACCAGCACATAAATTCAAGTGTGTCGTGTCGGTTTGGTGCACCCACAACAGCAGAGTGGAGAGTGAGAAAGAGAGTGAAGTGTGTAATAAACCCCAATGTTCGATGGGAAGACTATGGAAAAATCTGTTTGCTTGATTTCCTACGGAGAGTGTGAACATATCTTGGGACACGCTATCAACAAAACGGAAAAAGAAAATGGCAAAATGATGCCAATGCAGGAATAATAAACAAATTCATATGCTCACACTGCTTCATTCGGTGCCTTGATTCACAGCCGCATCGAATTCGGTATATGTGAGATGTCGGAAGAGTGAGTGTTTCCATTCTTCACATCGGATTTCATCTTGTGTCCGGAGTGGAAATTGTTTTCTTCAGCTAATAATTTATTGAAGCCGAGAGATATTATCGCAGTGCAGAAAATTTATGGATCGAAAATTTGTTATTTCGGCAAGAATTCATTTGCCATTGCATCATTATCATTTGAACATACGCACGATGAAATATTCATATGTTTTCTTCTTTGGTTTTGTGCCGTTGCAGGGAAAAGTTTTTCGCTCACAATATGCATATCAACCGTTCCGGCCCAGGTAACAACCTACATGAAAGCAATTAAAGTAACAGTCGATGGACCGCGAGAGCCACGCTCAAAAATTCGTCACCAGAACTTCCATCCATTTGCATTTGGACCGCAGCGTTTCGCGCCTGATCCACTTCTGGCTGGATTACCCTTCAAATTGCCAGGTAATTTAACGAAAGAAAAAAACATTTTAGGAATTCGTTAAACAAGCCAACATTATCTGGTATCGATCAGTCTCGTCAAAATTAGAAACAGATAATACGTTTGATTTAACGACTCACCGCCCAAAAAAAGATCAAATTTATGGAACTTTCAATGTAGCAGCGGCAGTAATTCAGGTGAATTTATGTCATTGAATCTCGTTGAATTGTGAAATTACTACTTTTTGGCAAACCAAATCGCACCAACTGAAGTGCATTCAAGTGCCGTATTTTAAATATTTAATTAAATATCCTCGAAACAGCTCATTCACACAAGCTGTTATCTTTCTCTCTCATATATTTTTATGAACACCTCGAGCTCTATTCTGCCAACTCGCACATATTCACACCATGGCGGGCACAAACAGTTTGTTTAAGAATCGATATTCATACACATGGCTCACGCTTTTTGACAATTTTCAACGCTACTCAACACAAATCGCAGAACATTTTTCAGCATGCGTGTAATCGTGCAAAATATTATAATCATATGCGAATATGAATACGAATGTACGATGCACGTGTGACTCCCCGACCGAATACAAATTATTACGATACATACATATTTATCGAAAGCTGACGCTACCACTTTCAATATTTATTGTAATCATATTGCATCGTTATTCATTTCGAATCTATAAAACATATGCCTTTCTATGCCGTCGCCATCGACAAAACGACACAAACTCACGACGCGAACATTTTAATCGATATTATTTCCGATGTGGTGAACATATCGAACGAATTTTTGCGCACATTCAGTCATCCACACTCAAAACGGATATACGTTTGGCGCTATTCCATTCCAATTTATTACTTTTATCAATTTAATTGAAAAATCACAACTTATGAGTGGAAAAATCGACGGTAAATTTGCTGAATTGACTTGCAAATTGGGTCTAAAAACGTTTTTCCGATAGAAAAAATGGTGCGAAAAGTGAAAATTATTCACATTTTCATTTGAAATTCATGGAAGATGACTTTTTGATTTCAATTTGAATTGAATTGGATAGGGCAATCGTAATGTCCTCTTTCATTTTAATTTTAATTCTCTTTATTAACACTTTTTTTTCTCAACTTTGATTCGGAAATTTTAAATTCAAAATTCAAAGACTTGAAAAATAATTTTCAATGCACCTCAAAAAATAGTCAATACTTGTCCATTCCTGACTCAACTTCGGTGGAAATCAAAAGCCCCCATTTTCACTAAGACAAGAAAATCACATGCGAACAGGTCCCAAGACGACAATTGCTAAGTGTAAATTGATAATTGTATTAAAGTGTATAAATTGTCGTACATTTGTGTGCGAATATATGAAGACGTGAGGTAGAAAATGGGGAGTGTTAGTATTTCGTTGAAAGCCAACAAATCATTTTTTCCCGTACATGTGTGTTTTCAATTCAAAGGGTATTGTCGATTAGGAGCATGTGTGTGTGCATGACATAGTTTACCAAATCGACATCTATTTGGCAAACATTTAGACATTTACAAACTGCATACACAACAATCGGCACTCAAGCAATAACATACTTTACATAAATAATGCATGAAATTTGTTTCCAAGATCAAATGATAGCTGCTAGAAAAATGCTGGTGAACGAAGAGACTTGGACCGTCGATGTTATCACGTGCCGGTTGAATTGGTTTCTGAGAACGACAATGCAATGAAACCGAAATGTGTTTGGAATTGTTTCGATGATAGTGAATCAAATTTTCGACACCTAACATTCTGTGCGTGCGAGGGAATGAAAGAAAGAGAGAGAGAGAGAGAGAGAGAGAGAGAGAGAGAGAGAGAGAGAAAGAGATAGAGAGAGAGAGAAAGATGTGTATTTACACTGGCAAACATGTGTATTCATTTCAAAATAGAACTTAAGCAACCCTTCTAACAAATTGGGAAACGTGCAAATATTGTGCGTGTGTGTGTGGGTGGGTGCGAGACTCAGCAAGGTGTATGAAGCATGTTCATGTCATGCATGTGTATGCCATTCATACCGATAATTTTAGCGATGAGACTTCGATATCGGCTCCATGGCACATGTATGATAATATTGATTCAATTACATGTCAAATTGCATGTCAATATCGTAACATGTCAAACATTATTTGCACTTAATCTACACCGGGCTCAATCAAGTTTCGGTATTGCTCAAGCCGACGAGCAGTTACAATGTGACACAAGCGTTTCCTAATTCAGTCTCATATTGTGTATGTGTGTGTGCCTAGCAAGTGAAATGGCATTGTCAATTTGTGCACAGAACCGAAGGGTGAAACGCCATATGCCTTCTCACTTGAGTGGTGCAAAAGAAACTGTAAACAATTCGTACCATGAAATATGCGAATTGAAAAGCCACAGCGTGCAGCCCCTTGAATTTTCACATTTTGAATATCATATTTTGAATGGAGACAATTTAAACGTTGCTGATGCTGTGCCGTACGTTGTCAACAGAACGCTTCACGCATAAACGTCTTCACGACTTTTCGGCTGATGACGATCGGCTGATGAAAAAAAAGAAGACGAGAATACACAACCCATGACAATACGAACAATACGATGCGTCAGTTCATATATCAAGAGCATTCGCTTTCAATTCAATGGTTTGCGCAAAAATATCAAATAAATATGAAGTTTATTTCTTGTGTCGACGACACTTGCCGTCTCCGTTTCCACAGTAACTCCAGATCCGTTGCTAGTCACTCCAACGCCTTTTCTTTATCCCGATTCGTCGATATTTTTCTTACACTTCAATGTCATGCGGTGGCCTACACCGATTCTTGCCGCCAGCACCGTAGAAGAAAAAAACGGAATTCGCTTGGCATTCATGGTGACGAATTGCATGAATTCACTTGTGAGAGATTTGATCGGAAAATATGCGTCACACTTAGGTGTCTGTTTGCTGAAAGTGTAAACATAGTCACGATTCTCTTTCTCTCTCTCTCTCGCTATCTTCTCGTATTAGCGAAAGAATTTGCTGGCATCTATCAAGTGACGGCGCCATATGTGCGCTGTTGTTTGGCTCAATTTGTAGTGCGTGAATATAGTAACGAAATGCGATTAGATCAGGCGAACGATGATGACATTCCAACTAAATCAAGAGGGTGCGCTACGACCTCCGTGTTACGACCAGCCTTGATTGAGCTGTGCACACTCAATATGTTCTATTGACTTTTGACTTTTGTTACGTACAACATCGTTTTCAGTTGCTTTTTTCTCATTTCACACCAGTCAATGCAGACTCCCACTCGACTATTAGTTGTATTGTTTCGCTTATCAAATTTATTACATGCATCACCATTTAAATGAAACATAATTCACGATGAAATTCAATTCGAATACTTCGATTGATTTTAAATTCCTAATGTTTAGGATGAGGCATCACTTCAACTGATTCACTCTAATATTTTTGGCGTTGAGCGAATTTAGTTTGAGTGAAAAGTTGTATTTTATCAACAAAATGCAGAAAAAACTACTTTAATCTGTATAGTCTATAAACTTCAGTTTAAATTTTAAAGCTAGTTTCTAACACTCCTTATTAAAAACTGCTATGGTATTCTAGCATTAGAATGTTGCTTTTAATGCAAAACTTCAATGTTGATTAACAACATTTGAATACTTCTTAAATGTTTGCCCATGGTTTTTCGAGTATAAATTTATTTAAAACAACAAAACCAACGGACGAACCATGTTCATTTCACATTGAATTTTCTGCATAGTTGCATCAACTGCTTGTGAACCTTGTATACACTAACTCGTTTTCCACCATGTTTTCGTCGTTTTTATTGTATTTTCTATCAAGTTTATGGAATGAAAACAACGAAATATTTTCCATAAACTTTTAAAATGTGTCAACAGCGATAAAATTGCTTTCGACAGATTTTCATTCAAGACAAAGCATCCGGGTTGATAACCAACAATGTTAGTTGAAGGAACTTGAGTGATATTAAATTCAAAATCAATGCCAGAATAAAACAATATGCGGAACAAGTTGATCTAAAAAAAAAACAATAAACTATCGATTAGCGAAGTTTTTGGAAAATCTCATTTTTGCCCGATCACTGTCATCTGACAAAGGCTGCACCTGTTTCGCATTTTGCTCCAAAAATCCAGAACTGACTTGGCTGTCATTTCGACGGAGGGAAACGGAAATCAAATTAAACCGAATGAGTGAAGGCAACACAGATCAACAATATATAATGGCAGCTCAAACTGTTATAATATTCATGCAGCATTTTGTTTATTTGTGAAACACCGAGCGAAACTCAAACAGTGTGTCGGAGACTAAATAAAACTATACACATCAGGAAGGATGGAAAGTTCCTTGTTTTATGCAAAAACTGATGAAAAAAAAACAATTTTTTCCCCAAACGGTTAGTGCTCAACATTATGCTATCTTGACGGATATTGTAGTGGCACAAGTGGAATATGGCACACACATAGACAGAAAAAACTATGCGAACGTCAAGGAAAACCCGTTTAAAATGAATTTCATAGATTCATATATATTTTCGGGGTTTAAAACGGCTTCGGAGAAAATGTGTCTCTCGTTAATTTTTCATGTGCCATAACATTGAATGACATTGTAAGCACATGTGAATTTGAGTTGACAGCTTAGTTTGTTTATGCTTTTTCTCGCTCTTGCAAGTTGTATGCACGAGTGTGACCGATTTCATTGTTCAGTGCGCACCGAAAAACCATTTGCTGAATTTTCATATTTTGCCGTAAATTAATGTCACTCGCGCGGTTTCCACATTAAAAATTGTTGCATCGCAAAATGTGTTGTGACACACAGAGTGTCGTCAGCAAAATGGAGAGAAACGAATCAAACGGCCCCAAAAAAGGGCCAAAACAACAAAAAGAATTCGAATTTCTTTGATTTTGCCATTAATCCTAAAGTGTAAACTAAATTGCAATTCAGTGATGAAATATTCATGGCGAAAAGTTCAAAGTTTTCCGGTTGACACACTC